GATCAGCACACTGGGTGTAGTGCCTAAAGACCTTGGACTGCACTTAAACACAATCGGCGCTGACAAAATTATCATCTGCCAGCTGCAGAAGGCCACCTTACTGGGATCTGCACGCATTATTCGCCGATACATCACACAGTCCTAGACACTTGGGAAGTGTCCGATGTGTGATCCAATTCAACAGCCAGCAGAGTGATCTTGTTTGCTGTGGAGGAAGTGTCCGACGTGTGATCCAATACAACAGCCAGTAGAGTGTCTGCTGTGGACTTATCTTGTTGTGTTTCAAATAATAATAATAATCTTTAAATAATAAACTTTATTTATACCCCACCACCATCTACCCAAAGGGGCGGCTTACATAAGGCCAAGCCCGATAATACAATTACAACAATTACAACAGAATAAATTCAACACAGTAAAAATAACAATGCAATAAAATAAGGCAATAAAATAAATGAGCATAAAAACAAAAACAGGGCAGTGCAAAATACAGTAACAAACACACACAATGGGCGGGACAAATGTACACATAAAATGATAAAATCCTGGAAGAGATAATAAAGAAAGAGATGTATTTGTAAGGGAGGAACTCATAGAGGATGGAACAGTGTAGTCAAGCCTTACCAAAGGTGAAGGGAAGGGCAATATGAGGACAACTTGAGGTAGAAGACAACAGGTCACTATGTGGTCACTCCCATTAAACCTTCACCTTATTGGTGAATGGTAAAAATCAAAGGATCTGTGGCATACCTCAGCTCACAGATTCTGCTTGGTGTAATCACATCTGGAAATATACGTGTACATGTGAATCACAGGGTGAGAAGGTGATCTAAAGCATCAAAGAAAAGATCATTTCTCTGCATTTAAATCTATGCTGTTGAAAAAAAGATCCCCAGTGCCAAGCCCTGAATCAAAAAGACAACCAAGTCAGTCTAACTTACCTGCAAGATGTATGAAGCCAATTCAAACACAACTTCGCTGTCAACCTCAATGAGCTCCTTGTGAAAAAAAAGAAGAGAACATAAAGTTTACTCATTTCCTGCTTTGTTACCATTATGCATTAAGTTAGAGATCACAATAAAGACTTATGGTACAGAAGAAATTTGATGTACTGTACGTTGGGGAAGCAGTTAACTGAGACCTGTTTCCAATCTTATATTATATTATACTAGCCATCCCCTGCCACGTGTTGCTGTGGCCCAGTCTGTGATCTGGAAAATAAAGTAATGAGAAAGTGTTGGTTTCTAATATATGTAATTTCTTTATGCTTGTGGGTAAACAGTATTTCTTGCTGTTTCTTTGTCAGTGTTGATGTGGAGATTGTCTGGTTTGCCTACTCTGGAACATGCAACATATATTGTCCTTCTTTAGGGGTCCCTTTCAAATCTATGATACTATATCTGTCATATACATATATATGTGTGTGTGAATCATATCTATACCTATAGCTGGGTGGCTCTTTGTCAGGAGGGCTTTGGTTATGTGTTCTTGCCCTGGTGAAGGGAGTTGGACTGGTTGGCCTTAAGGCACCTTTTCTCAACCTGGGGGTCGGGACTCCTGCAGAGGTCATAAAGGGGTGTTAGAGGGGTCGCCAAAGACCATCAGAAAACACAGTATTTTTTGTTGGTCATGGGGCTTCTGTGTGGAAAGTTTGGCCTAATTCTAACGTTGGTGGGGTTTAGAATGCTCTTTGATTGTAGGTGAACTATAAATCCCAGCAACTACAACTCCCAAATGTCAAGGTCTATTTCCCCCAAACTCCATCTGTGTTCATATTTGGGCATATGGAATATTTGTGCCAAGTTTGGTCCAGATCCATCATTGTTTGAGTCTACAGTGCTCTCTGGATGTAGGTGAACTACAACTCCCAAACTCAAGGTCAATGCCCACCAAACCCTTCTAGTGTTTTCTGTTGGTAATGGGAGTCCTATGTGTGCCATGTTTGGTTCAATTCCATCATTGGTGGGGTTCAGAATACTCTTTGATTGTCGGTGAACTATAAATCCCAGCAACTACAACTCCCAAATGACAAAATCAATTTTTTGAGTGAAGGACATACATTGGGTTGTTAGGTGTCTTGTGTCCAAATTTGGTGTCAATTTGCCCAGTGGTTTTTGAGTTCTGTTAATCCCACAAACGAACATTACATTTTAATTTATATACTAACTGTCCCCTACAATGTGTTGCTGTGGCCCAGTCTGTGTATATGTGTTTTGTGTGTTTGTATATTTGTGTATATATATGTGTGTGTGTGTATACATACATACATGCATACATATATATATATATATATATATATATATATATATGGGTGTATATATGTGTGTATATTTGTGTGTTTATATCTGTACATACATATTGTGTATATGTGTGTGCTTGTCTATATGCATATTTTTGTGTATATACGTGTGTATGTATGTTTATATGTATATATGTATATGTGCATGCATGTGTGTATATTTGTGTATATTTGTGTGTGTATATATATGTGTGTATATTTGTGTATTTATATCTGTACATACATATTGTGTATATGTGTGTGCTTGTCTATATGCATATTTTTGTGTATATACGTGTGTATGTATGTTTATATGTATATATGTATGTGTGCATGCATGTGTGCATGTGTATGCAATTCATCCAGTGTGTATATGTGTATATTTGTGTGTGTTTGTGCATATATATATAAGAATGTGTGCATGTGTATATGTATATGAGTGTATGTGTATATGTATATATGCTGTATTTTTCGGGTTTTTAAGTCTGCTCCGCTGGGGTTTTGTGTGTGAGGTTTTTTAGGGGTGATGGACACTCGTTGGACTGTTAGGTGTATTGTGTCCAAATTTCGTGTCAATTCGTCCAGTGGTTTTTGAGTTATGTTAATCCCACAAAGGAACATTACATTTTTATTTATATAGATAGCAGGTAGATTCTTCTATTGCTTTTCTTGCATGTTTTCAATGACACTGCTCTTACATCATAGTGATGCAAGCTGATCTTTAATCAGAGTCTTTAACATGTTGGAGATAAGCAAGGCAAGATAATCAGGTAACAGCATGAAGCCATAGGCAGATCTCGCCCCAGGGTAAAATGTATCAAGAGGTTTTCCTGTGCAAGCCCAATGAAATAATGGGAGTCAAAAGAGTTCAGTTGTAGGAATTTCAAATATGACTGTACAGTATACCTGGATTTTCACCAAGTTCATGTATGTGCCACTTTGAATTTTCCATTTCAAACAGATTCAGCTTACACAAGAAACTAGCAAGGAGAAACTGGAGCCAACCCACAACTTAATATGGAGAAAAAAAGGCAGCTATTCTGGGACACAACTAACTTCAAAAATGTTAATGGTAGTGTACAAAACCAGTGGCCACATGCAAGAACTATTCAAGTCCATGGGCTGCATTCAGTTCTATAGGTTTGGAATCAATTCTCGCCTTACATCAAAGTAAAGTATGGTTTCCCGTACTGACTATTTTTCTACAGTCACAGATGAATTGAATGTGTATGTATTGGACTTTGTTCATACTACGGTCAAGTATTTTCCATTTTTCTTCCTATGACCCAAACGGCTGCTCTTGTGGAGTACAGTATGTTTCCACCCCATTTACAGAGCAATCTAACCTCTAAATGGTAACTCTGGCATGCCCATGCTGGCCTTTCATATTTAAACCTTTGTTTTAATTGTCTTCATCCTTTTGGAATGAAAATGGCATAACACATCCGAGATCTAAATTTAGATAAATACAATAATGCATGCCATTCAGATACATGGCACACCTCATTTCACAAGGAATAATAACTGTTCTTAACCCGCCCCTGGCAAATATGAAGCAACAATCCTTACTAAGGTGTCTGTACAAGCTGCTCCAAAGTGTGTTAAAATAATGCTGTCTCACAACCTCTACCACAATCCACAGCAACCAGTCCCAGAAATCAGCCAGCACTGGATTCTTGGGATTGAACGATGAACAACATTGATTTGTCAAATGTTGATGTGTCCACCATAGACAGAGACATAGGGAGATATTCTCATTTATTGGCACATCTATCTATCTATATATATAAATGCTCTGTGTGTAATGAGTACCTTAAAAACAAAAGAACCTATGAACAAAATCACACCAAATTTGGCAACAAAGCGTCTCACAACACAAGGAGTGACCATCACTCAAAAAATTATGATTTTGTCATTTGGGAGTTGTTGCTGGGATTTATAGTTCACCTACAATCAAAGAGCATTCTGAACATTGATTATGGAATTGAACCAAACCTGGCACAAAGGACTCCCATGACCAACAGAAAATACTGGAAGGGTTTGGTGGGCATTGACCTTGAGTCTTGGAGTTGTAGTTCACCTACATCCAGGGAGCACTGTGGACTCAAACAATGATGGATCTGGACCAAACTTGGCACAAATACTCAATATGCCCAAATATAAACATAGAAGGAGTTTGGGGGAAATAGACCTTGACATTTGGGAGTTGTAGTTACTGGGATTTATAGTTCACCTACAATCAAGGAGCATTCCGAACCCCACCAACAACGGAATTGGGCCAAACATCCCACACAGAACCCCCATGACCAACAGAAAATACTGTGTTTTCTGGTGGTCTTTGGTGACCCTTTTGACACCCCCTCGCAACTCCCCCCCCGGGTCTTGACTTCCCAGGTTGAGAAATGCTATCTTAAGGCCATCCAGTCCAACTCCCTTCACCAGGGCAAGAAAACATAATCAAAGCCCTCCTGACAAAGGGCCATCCAGCCATTCACACACACACATATATGTATATGACAGATGTAGTATCAAAGATTTGAAAGGACCCCTAAAGAAGGGCAATGATATGTTGCATGTTCCAGAGTAGGCAAACCAGACAATCTCCACATCAACACTATGGCAAAGAAACAGCAAGAAATACTGTTTACCCACAAGCATAAAGATATTACATATATTAGAAACCAACACTTTCTCATTACTTTAATTTCCAGATCACCAGACTGGGCCACAGCGACGCGTGGCAGGGGACCACTAGTATAGTATAACCAGTATTGCTACCATGTATTGTTATTCTTCTGGCAGAATTTTGAAGTCATGGCTTTGCAAATGAGATGCTCCAAAGAACAATAATTACATTCCAGACAGAACAGGATAAAAAGAGAACTTAATTACAACATAATTGAGCAAAGTACAGACAAGTACGCTCCGGAGTAGTGGAAAGTGGATTTCTGGGTCACAACCCGGAGATGCTACAGTGCACTTTCATTTCTAATTCAGAAAAAAATGATGCACCTATCAGAAGCTAGGCTAAAACATTGATGTGGCGGCAAAAAAAAGCCAATGGATTTTGGCCTGCATCAATAGGAGTATAGTGTCTAGATCCAGGGAAGTCATGCTACCCCTATTCTGCCTTGGTTAGACCACACCTGGAATATTGTGTCCAATTTGGGCACCACAATTGAAGAGAGATATTGACAAGCTGGAATGTGTCCAGAGGAGGGCTACTAAAATGATCAAGGGTCTGGAGAACAAGCCCTATGAGGAGCGGCTTAAAGAGCTGGGCATGTTTAGCCTGAAGAAGAGAAGGCTGAGAGGAGACATGATAGCCATGTATAAATATGTGAGGGGAAGTCATAGGGAGGAGGGAGAAAGCTTGTTTTCTGCTACCCTGGAGACTAGGATGCAGAACAATGGCTTCAAACTACAAGAAAGGAGATTCCAGCTGAACATTAGGAAGAACTTCCTGACTGTGAGAGCCGTTCAGCAGTGGAACTCTCTGCCCCGGAGTGTGGTGGAGGCTCCTTCTTCAGAAGCTTTTAAACAGAGGCTGGATGGCCATCTGTCAGGGGTGCTTTGAATGCAATTTTCCTGCTTCTTGGCAGGGGGTTGGACTGGATGGCCCATGAGGTCTCTTCCAACTCTGATTCTATGATATGATTATGATTGTTGGAAGGTAGTCCTGGGAGGGGATTTTAGGCACAATGACTAACAAGAGAGAAA